TGGTAGGTGTTATAGGCAACTTGGAAGCTCCAGAGGAATCTCAAATTCTGACTCAAAGCAGTGTCTTGCCATAGCCAGTCCAGATGGAAAATCATTACCTCGTTCTACAAGGTTTTGTTTGTGTGAGGGCTGTTCTCGCACCAACACAGCCTTGCTCTAAGGTGAGGTCCCATCTAGTTTCCCCCMAAAACTGTAGTCATAGCGAAATTAGATGTGCAAAAACACGCAGTGTGCAAGGCCATCTCTTGGGGCAGCTCAGTCAGTTTTTGAGAGTTTCCAGAAAGCACATAAAGTAGAAAGGCAAGGAAGGAAAGAAGGGAAGTCTTGAATCCCATTTGGAAAGGCAGATCAGAGATGACTTTTACCTGTGTCTCCATCCCTCGCATCCARAGCACCTCGTGGTGGTGCCTGAAGCAGTGTGGCTAACTTTGTGTCGCGCTTTCCACAGGAGGGAAGCGCAGGGAATGGTCTTGGGATCTTTGTAAATGTGCTGCTCSTGTCAAAGCAAGGTCGAAGAAATGTGCCTGTTTGATGGAGAAAGGGTGGTTGTGAAGCACCTAAATGTCTGCAGGACTTAATGCCACAATTTCGAGCAGATTTCTAAGAAATGCTGCTACGTGGGAACTAGAGAATTTCTGTAGATTTGAAGGACTTTACATCTTAGCAAACAGCAAAGATGAGAGAAAACTTTGTGCGTAAATTAAAGCAATGAAATCTGTTCTGAAGACTAAAAATAGGCTGGCTGGGTTTTTAGCAAGTGAAAGATGGTCTGAGCCTGAAACTACAGTGTGCATTTAAGTTGTGCTGTTGCAAGATGTGCTAAAGCCTAAGTCTGTGCACTGCCTTTGAAAAGACATAGTACGTTTGGAGCCCGGAATAAATTAGCCAGTACATTTAGAACAGCAAACGCTGCAGGACCATAATGATATTTCTAAAGGCAAGTGAAGAACAAACTGTAAGGTATTTGGTAGAGAGAGATGACTAAGCTAGATGTCAAATCACTGTCCTGCACTGATGTGTTTAGACATTACTCAGCTAATGAACCAGGACCTCTTCTTAGATGGAAGTTTGCCTGTGCAAAGTTTTTTTCTTAKTGTTATTTTTAAATTGAATAAAGTSAGTTAACTGAGGAAGTTTGAGTGTGTGGGGAGGAATATTGCTTGAACAAAGTGTGCTCTGTCACTTGGTGCAGAAAGACCTTGTGCATCCAACGCAGAAAGCTAAAGGTGGCTAATGGTGAAGCCACCGGCCACCCTGCCCAGCAAGGAGCCCTGTGTCCCCAGGCTGCGTCCTGCAGCCCCAGGGCTCTGCAACGGCCTCCCGCAGGTTCCTGGAGCTGGTTCTGGTCCAGCYGCAACTTAATTAGCTGTGGGGGTAGGGATTAATTCAGGGCTGGCATTGCAGCTTTTGTGGCTGTCCTTCCTGAAGGACCTAGGCGGGTTATTCCCATACACCTACACACAAGTTTGTCAAACAAAAGCACAAATCTGARCACAGACTTCTATTTTAACAGTGTTTCTGGTGGGAGAAAGTGTGCTGGCCAAGTGGTTTGGTCCTGACGTTATTCAAGAAACCTTTAGGTCTGGTTTGAACCCMTCATCTGAGTTTGAGTCACAAAACAGCCGTGAAGATCTACTTAGGTTTTCTTTTTGTCTTCAAAAGCACTTAATCGTTCCACGTGACACATTGCCATTTAGTCCTGCATTGCCTTTTAACAGCTTCTGAAGTGTTGAAGGTATGGATTATACTAATGTGGCTTTTAATTTTTGATAGAGTGAAATAGCTTCAAAAATTAASCTTTGGAAAACACTTGGATAGATTGCAGGACAGGCTTTTAGCAGCATTCTTTTTCAGATCGTATACTGTCTGTATTTCAAAAAATRCAGACCTTTGGCTGGCGATGCTCAGCTTCCTGACCCAGGAAGAATGTTTCCAGCTGGCGCTGGAAGCTTTTTTTCCTCCTCACATAATCTGAAAGTCCCAGCTGTTTTCCATACCAGTAGCTAGGATGGAKGTTGGTTGCTGTCCATGGATGTTGCACCCATTTGTTGGTTAGCTCATTCCAAAAGGTATTTGACAAGCAAGGAAAATGTTGTTTCTTCCTGGTGTAATAAGATTTTATACATTTAGTTATGAAAGAGTTACCTGTGGGTAGTGTGTATGGTCCTGCCATCATGAAAAATAAGCTGCTTGTTCATCATCTTCAGCGTCTTGTTGTAGGACACAAATGCAAGAAGTATTTGTTGAAGTGYTGGGATAAATCAAGAGACCCAGCATGAAACAGCCTCTTTCAGCGCTGTCACTGAGTATCGTAGCTCTTCAGATCTGAATGTAGCAAAAAATCAGCAAAATAAATGTTTGAACAGAGTTTGAAGTCTCTGCAGCATCACGATTTGCATATGTACTTTTCTCCTCTTGCACAGAAACAGTTGGCTTATGTCTCCATCCRCTCTTCTTTTATTCTGGCTGGAGCCAGGCACACTAAATAGTGATTAAACAAAAGATTAAAATTCCATTTTTGTGGGTTTGGTGTTTGAATGTTAATCGATTCCTTTGGCAGAATGCTAAGTAAGAGCATGGTAGACAACAGAAGGGGCTTATTTACAGCAATCTGTCTAAATCCATTTTCAATGTGTTCCTTAATATGCCTTTCTACTCTAATCTATTTTCAGTTTTAAAGAAATGAAGGATGGGAACAGGCAGGAGATTAGTTTAAAATATTGCTAGAGAAGTAATCACTTCTTAGTTGTAAACAACTTCCAGGATTTAAGGAAAAGAAAATGTGCCTGAGCTGAAACACAAGCTATGGGCTTGCTCTGGAATTGATGGGAAAAATTCAGTGGTGTGTGCACTTAGCAAGCTGGACTACATGATCATAACAAAGTCTTTCCATTTTTGCATTGCTGTTTACAACTGACCATTTAAAAAGTGGACAGATTTTTGCAAAATGAAAAGCTAAGGTAGAGCAAAACTGAAAAGCCCACGGGCTTGCAAAGCTGTCGCCTGGAATTTCTATGTGCTGACCTGTTTTTTTATAGGGACAAAAATCCAAATGTTTAATGCTGACTTAGCCTACACGTGTGGAGTTCACTGCAGAATTCGAAGAGGAGGTCTTTGTATTTACAGTTAAAATGTAGGCAGAGGTGAAATGTGGTGGTGGGTTTTGGACAAAAATAATATGCTTCTTGCTGTATAATAAGAATTCATGAGAAATGAGGCTAACAGTGAAAATTCATATGAAATACAGCATTACAGGTAACACGAAGTCCCTTCAAATGGGGAGCTTGTTTAATAGTTAAAGCAAAAATGAGTGCTGGAAAACTTGCTGTGTTTGGCAGACTGCTTAGATACCAGTCTAGCGCCTCTATTGAAGAGACATCATCAAGTTACTTAATTTGCATAATTAAATCAAATCCTATGCAGCATCCCTGGAGAAAACCACTGCGGGGGGGGGGGCAGGGGGGAGAAGGTATGAGTCTGGTCCCTGTGTGTAGATTCCTGGGGCTTGGATGTCTTTTGCCACAACAGAAGTTTCCCAAATAACATCAGTATCAGCATCCTGCCCAGTGCCACTTTTGGAATGAGGCTGGAGAGGTGCATCTGAACCCACCAGGTATAATCTAATGTAATTTGAACTTGATTCCCATCCCCTAAGAGCTCTTCTGAGAGGGAGAGCCCAAGAGGCACCTTCTCCTCTAAGCACCTTGGCTGCCCTTGCTTAAGTTGCCTGAGTTCCAAGGCAACTTGGAAAAAAAGCAACCAAACGAAAAACCACTTTTGTTGTTTCCTTATTAGACTACTGAGGTGTCTGTTTTGCTGGTGTGATGTGTTTGGGGTGAGAGGAGGGATGTATTTGATTCCATTTTCAGTGTCCCTGGATTTTTCCTGCCTGCTTGGCAGTGATCTGGAGCTCTGGAGTCCCCTGTGTGGGGTGGGAGTCGTGGGCTCGGAGCCAGGGCCTGGAGCAAGAGTGGGAAGATCCATCTAAGATGCCAAAGATGCATCTAACATAGGTGCATTTAATACCTTGCTAAGTTACTCTGCTGAGCCCTGCTTTTAGCTGCTGGTGTTTGATTTGATTGATCCATTAGAGTAATACTAAAAACTTCTCCCATCCTCTGAGAAAATATATTGTTTTTTTTTCTTCCTATAAAGTCCTGGTTTCTAGAGGTCACTCTTCATGTCAAGAGTCAGGCCACTACAAGTGACTTATGCTCACCAATATCTTACTATGTAGTTGGTCTGCTCCAAGAATGACTTTTCAAGCACCTCTTCTTGCCCCTAATCCATGTTTTTTTTTTTTTTTTTAACAAGTAAAATTCCGTTTTCCTTGGACTCGGAATAGCAGTGTTTTAAGAGATATATAATGTTTTTCTTTTGTGGTCTCTTTGATCCTGTCTTTCATTTGCTGTCTTGCTCCCAAAGCACCTATTGCTTTAGAATTTCAGGAACAACATCATGAAAAGCAGAGCTCTAATTGGGTTCTACACAGGCTCAAGCCTGCACCTGTAAAACTTGCTTTTAGGTCGAGCAGCAAGGCTGTTAAAAATGGCACTTACATCTTATTTTGATTTTATTCAGGTAGAGTAGTATTTTCATAAATAATGATCCTGCACTAGGGGTTTCATTAAATCTTTATTGTTAATTAAATAGGAAGCAAGATGCATTAGATGTTTTCAAAATGAAAAAGGGCCCTTTTAGTAGATTCTCTGATTAAGAATATTGGTCGTGAGTATATGATGGTGCACTGAAAAAATAGAATTTAACGGCTGTTACTTTAAGTACTGTTCTGAGGCATAAGAAATCCCTCACTTTATTCCTCAGCCTTTCCAGGTGAGGAATAAAAAATAATAAAAACTTCTTGTTTCTGATAATTTTAAGCAATATGTTTGCTCTTCTTTTGTAGGTTTAAGTGTGGGAGGGAATTAAGGCAAGGTTTCACATGTGTGGGATTTTCTTGTTTTTGTTTTTTTTAACATATCCATTCTTTTGTTTAAAAGGCATCATATGTGAGGCAAAAGAAAGACCTTTACTTTGTTGATGGCGAAAGAAAAAAGGACTGGCATAACAAAGAAGCTATAAGGAGGGACGCCGAACGTGTCGGTATGTAAGATTACTCCAAATATGTCTTAGCATAGATCGTAAATTAGTTGGGTTTTATTTGGTAGGCTGTGAGCAGAACTGCTGCTGGGTCAAGATGATATTCCTACAATGATGCATCAGTTACTGAAGTTATTTTATTATTGAAGCCTCCTCTCTCCTTCTCCAAAATAGCTGTTTTGAATGAAAGGTTGTTGGTAACATTTTGGTACTTTTAGGATAGGTGCCATATGGATTCTACAGTCTTACAAAAATAGGTATGACTGTGCCTGTTTTTAAAATGAGAGCTGGAGAAGGAAAAGGTGTTAGAAAAATATTCTAGATGATAATATTTGCCAGACTTTAATTGTGAAGTCCTGGGTTTTGTCCTGCATCATACAAAAGAGCAACTCTTCTGCACGTGACAGCGTTACCCTGATGTGCCTGCAATGGCTTGACCTCCTCTCCTCCAGAGCTCGGGGTGTTAAATACACATATCCACCTGTGCTGAGGAGAGTAGCAGGTGAGGGATTGAAGCTGTGTATGTTCTCCTGCTGCAAATCATAAAAAATATTCCATGTATCCTGCCTGRTCTTGCCATCAGCCCCTTGCCCAGAACGAGGAGGTTCAACCTCAGTGACTTGCCCAGCTCGAAGGACTGCTGCCCTTCTAATAARTATATATGGGTTAGTTGCTGGCCAGTTAAGCAGCAGTTGGTAGTAGTGATGCATGTTTACTTCTTGTCTGTCCATAGGAAATGGAGAACAGGGAAAACCTTACCCAATGACTGATGCAGAGCGAGTGGACCAGGCATACAGGGAAAATGGCTTTAATATCTTTGTGAGCGACAAAATTTCACTGAATCGTTCCCTTCCGGACATCAGGCATCCAAAGTGAGTCCTTGGTTTATGTTTCTRTGTGTAGAAGTTTACAGTCCCTACACTGCCACATTTGCAGGCGTGTGGGTGGTTTTTGTTTGTTTGTTTTTAATCCTTGCACCTTTGTCCATCAAATACAGACCCCTGGAGTCCTGTTAGCTCTATTGCTGCCTTTATAAAGGATAGCAATCTGTTGCCACAGCGCACTAATCAAATAGAATATTTTTATACCCTTTCCCAATGCATACTCATAAACTGAGGGGAGAATATAGCTCGTAAATGTTTTAGGCATGCAGCTGAAATGCTTAAATATAGAGATCAGTTAGGTAACTGTGGAAATGTAGTCAGCTTATAACCAGCATCCTAGGAAATGCAGCCTGTGTGTCTGCTAACCTAAATCCTGCCTGGTTTCTGTGTTTATGGGCTCACAGAATTTAGGCTTTAGTCAATGCCAAGTTTCCCTCACCTGAGGGTTTAATATACTGCTGTATGTTCCCCAGTGCTTCACAAAGCTGCTGACTCCTCRTTGCTAATTCTGCTAGTTAAACATGTTTTAAAATGTGAGACTTCAGGCTCCGGTCCCCAGTTAAAATTAATAAGTGAAGTGTCTGGGTCATTGGCAATTTAAACTGAGATTGATGGTGCTGCTGCAACTGGTGCTGCTCGTTGCTTGACACACAGTCACCCAGTGCAGCAAGCAGCRATTGTGGAGGCCTCAAGGAGAAGATAAACAGCAGGTATATCATGGATATAGGGTGGGAAMGGAGCAGGGTTATGTATAATGGAGATGTGGAGTAAGGGAATTAAGGATTGAAAAGGTCTGCTGTGTATTGTCTGCCCATTTACAAAAATAATACAAAGTCCTTGAGGTGGTATGTTCCATATTATTGGGTGCTTGATGAAAGCAATTTATAATGCAGCTTGGTTGAAATGGAGTCTGTAAAGAGCACTGTAGATAAGTGAGCCACGTGTTAGAGCACTGTTATTTACCTAGAAGAGGAAGCAGACACTAGTCTAGGAATATGTTTATAGACCCTTGATTTTGCAAATGTTCATGCTCCTCACTGACCCAACTCACTTCTGAGATGTTTTATATGGTCATTTTATAATATAAACAGTGTTTCACCACTGTCTTCTCTTAATCATGGAAACCTGCAGAGGGTTGATGGGACTAAATTTAACTAGTGCTCATGTAAGATGTATGATCTTTTGCTTCAGGAAATGYGTCTTCCCCCTGCTAACACTTTCTTTAAATGCCCATAGCTTTTTAATATTAAATGCTAATTTTACAAACCTTCTAAAGCAATTGTAGATGTGATAAATGGAGGGAAACAGCTTCTCTGCCTGCCTAACAGTGTGCTAACAGCTGAAATTTACCATATAGAGCTGGTCAGAAAAGGATAATTCTACCTTAAAAAGGGTGAGAAGAGATTTTGGCATTTTCTTTCACATTGTAACAAAATTACAGCTAGTAGAGCCCTCCAAGAATGCTATGGTTGCAATGTTCATACAGCTACCTGGAGAATCCTCCTGTAAATCAAGGGAGCATTACCTTCGTTTTGCAGTTCAGAAGAGCTTAACAAGGTGGGGAAATATCTGCAAACTTGGGGGGTGCATGAGCGGGCACCACAGACCTGACTCTTCAGAGGTCCAAGGTCCATAGTGCTGTTTTCAGAGCCCTGCTTTATTCACTGGTACCAGAACAGACCAAGACAACAGTGTGTTAACAAGAGTTTTTCTTCAAATACTGTGCATTAATTTGGATTGTAATTTGAATTACTTGATGATAATTAATACAGAAGAGCCAGTTAGTTTTGGCACCACCATTGACCTTATTCTGTCTGTGTCCAGCTGCAAGAATAAACTGTACCTGGAGACGCTTCCCAACACCAGTGTGATTATACCGTTCCACAACGAAGGATGGTCCTCTCTGCTCCGCACGGTGCACAGCGTCTTAAACCGCTCTCCTCCTGAGCTGATAGCTGAGATAGTGCTGGTGGATGACTTCAGCGACAGAGGTGGGGTAACTCGTATGTAACATCTGTGTTTATCAAACAACGATCAAAGACCTTGCAAATATGCATGCAATGCATCTTGGAAAAAAAGAACGTAGCAAAAACGAACGGTTTACATACTCAGTTTTTATTATTTTAGCTGCTGATGGCATCAGTGATGCTGCCTTTGGAACGATGTAGATAAGCAGGGAAGCTGCTTTTAGTATRCTGCTGTTAACCTGTGTAGACAGTTGATCAAAGTCAGGAGTTTGACACATGGCATCATAAAAAAGTTCACTCCTTACATGTTATATTTTCTTCTAGAGGCAGAAAACTATAAAACTAACTGTGACAAAAGGTTTGCACCCTGGRCTTTAGTTTTCTTAACTCCTGATTTTTTTGCTCCCAAAAATTTGTAATATGAAAAGTTATTCTCTGAACCATTTATGTGCTCCGTGATTATAAATTGAGCTATGGATTAGTTTGCATCTTGAGATAAAACGTAGGCAGTTTGTGCCCTTGTTATAGTGTAAAAAGGTAGACAAATGGAGGAGGAATGAATGCTCCATCCTGTAGACATTGCACAGTTAGATCATAYGGAATTTGAATGGAGCAGCTGGTTATCCTGTGCTGAAGAGTATACAATGACTTTAAGGGTTTATAATCAGATCTACCAACTTTAATGTTTTATCTTCTTTATTATCAGCTGCAGAGTTCAGGTTTTCCCAGATGAGATTACACAGGGAGGAAAAGCATTCTCCAAAAGTATACCAAAGGATACATCTCCAGAAATCTGACTCATAGGAAGTAGTAGCTGTRCTTGGTTCTGAAACTCATAAAATGGGCTTGGAAACAAAATAGTATTTGGTGTTCTGACCCATGCAGACATTTAGAAAAGCGTTGCCCAACAGCTATGGTTTTTGTTCTAAAGTACATCTCTTAATAGCTTGCAAGCAGAGCATGCTGGTTTGAAAAATCAATCAGTTGTATGAGCTAGGTATTTCTTTAGATAATTTGGAGACTAAGCTGGTGTGTGTGAGRTGGGGGGAACACCCTCCCAGCAAGGTCCCTTTATTGCCTCCGTGTCTAGAAGCAAATTAAGCAAGCTCACGCTGTAACCTGAGCTGAATTGCACAAAAAATATATATTTTTACAGGAGAAATGGAAGTAATAAGATCAGGTTTGCTGTGGATTTGTACTCCAGACGTGGCCTTGTGACCAGGCCAAGGAGAGCAGTTCCCTGGCTCTCCCAYCTCGGCTGCTCGTCAGGCTGCCCATGAGCTGCTCACCCTGCTCCCTCCCGCTCTGGTCCAGATGCAAACTCTCTCCATCCATCATCCATCATGCAAAGGGTACAAGAAGCAGCAGAGATTAATTTGCATGCAGCATCTGTTTAGAAATAGATAGAAAAGTCTATGTATATTGGACAGGGAGCTAAATTGTCAGGGGAGCAGAACAACAGGCAGGTGTGCGGAATGGTAACAGCCCTTCTGGAAACCAGTGTTTTCCTGCTAGCTTAGTTGATCTATGCATGTTGGGACAATTACCGGTTAGGATGAAACGTTTTCCCTTTCCTGCTGTCAGTCGTGTATCTGCATCGTGGTGTTTCCTGCTGGCCGCATCTGCTTTTCCAGCACTCAATATTCCTTAGCCGCGCTGGAGCTGGTTTCCACGTCCCTCCCAAAAGCTAGAGAGATCTAAGGCTGTAGGAGGTGAGAGCATTGCAAGTCCGAAACCATGATCTTGACTTGAAAGACTGGTTACAAAATTCTGTTTTTAGTTTATCCATTGTGTGTCCTTGAAAGTTGAAAGCCTAATACCTAAAATGAAGTGTGGGAAGGAACAGAGGCTGCAGCAAAGATTTTACTTGCGTTGCATGCTTGAAAAGATCACTTTTTGGGATTTGAACTCTGTTATACCGCTGCTCTGGTTATCTGTTTATCTCATGATTAAATTGGGCAGGAACTGAAGACTCTCTGTCCGAGTTGATGATCATCACCATTGTTCCACAGAAACGGCGAGCAGTTCATAGATTGTGTAGCAGTCTCTTGGTTTCCTCTGAAAATCATAAGTGACTAATCCCCTGCATTAGCTCTGCCAGGTAGAGTGCTGCATTAGTTCTGCATTAGTGCCACAGATTTGCTACAGCACCTTTCACACAGTGATAGCTGGAGGCCCCATTTGAGATCGGAGAGGCACAGAAACAACAGTTAGTGTCAGTGTCTTCCTCAAAAAGATCAGTAAACAGTCATCGTAAACTCATACTGAAAAGGAAAAGATGAAAAGGATAATTGCACACCAAAAATACATTATTCATTGCTTTGAGAGAGCGCCCTGACAAGATAAAATATCAGATRTATTCTGCTTGTTCCTCAAGGTGACCTTGCATTTCAAGGTTGTCTAAACACACCTATAGCACTTCTAGTAACTCCTTCTAAAAACTTGGCTATCCCTGGTGAGCAGACTGTATCCATCTCATTTTCTTGTGCTGCTGACCTCTCATGGGCTTGAACTTGGACATTTTGGCCTAGATGCCTTTGAGGTTGTCCTCTCAATGTTGCATTCTGCTAGCTTGTATAGGTGTCCCTAGTAGGACAGTCCCTCCCTTTTCAGATGYGTATCATCGGTTCTCATTCTTGCAGAGTCTTTTTCACATAAAAATAACTATGGAAACTGTACCTGGAAGGCAGCTGCAGCGTTTTATGTTTCTGGAGCTCTCAGATGAATCATCATCTGGAAGTGTCAACAGCCATTTATTTCTTAATTTGTTTGCAAGACAATTCTGTGACCTTTAGCAATAAACATTTTTCAACCAAAAAAGATTGTTCTGATGACAGTAAAGCTTAATAGCAAGCAGCAAAAGCTTTCCTAGTCATGTTTTTTTTTAGTTTTGTGTTTGAAAATTGCAATGTGCTGATACAACTTGCTGTCTGGATTTAGTGATAGCTTTAGTGCTGGATTCCATATTGGCTGCATTGCTCTGGGAAAGGGCAGCTCAAGTGGTCACTTTGTGGTAGTAATATACTGTATTATACAGTAATAAAAATATGCCCCATTGCCCTAGTTGCCTTGTCTAGTTGTCAAAAGGTAAAACAGATTAGGGAAATCTAATACCCATAAAAACAGTGAGAGTTTGCATTTATCAGTTTGTTCCAGACAATATATATCAAGTATTTTCAGCGCTCTCTTTAATGTAAAATGTAATAGGGTTTTTACTTTTTCACTTTTTGCAACAATTGAGTTTTTTAAATTATTCAAAACACTGTAAGCTTGCTGTGCACTAGAAGGCTGTAAGATAATTTCAGAATGTCATTTAAAAGAAATATCTTGTCGCTTGCTTCAAGTTACCCCTGTGCAGAAGAAAGCCTGTCCTACACAGGCAGTTCAGAAGTACTTGGATTAAATCCTGCCTTATGACCTAGCTTGATGGAACTGGATGATTGTGGCTCACTGTTTGAATGTCACACACAACCTAATGCTGAAACATGACTTATTTGCATGTTGACTGACAGCCTCTTCTCACTCATTCTTAGGACTYCTTTTGTGTAAATGACAGTGTTTTAGAACAAGTTTGTCCCTTGTTAAGGAACACGAGTCAGAGTATCAGTCATCGCTAAGGCGTTTGTGCATTATATGCGAAGCACTGTTAAGGCAGTAATAAAGTTGATGTGGCAGCACTGAAAATACTGTAGTCCCCTAACATGAGGGMTCTTGGTGGAAATATTAAGTGAGCCCGGCCATCTGCCTTGGGGCTTTGTGTGTGCGGACAGTGGCAATGTGTGAATATCCTGCTCACAGCAACCACCCGAAATCTGCACCTGTGAGTGAGAGGCAGTAATAATTTCCCCTGACTTAATTATATATGGGACCCAGCAGGACAMTGATGCTGGTGAAATCAGCGCTTAGTGCTCTCTCCGTGCATTTCTGCAGATTTTTTCCAGCTCTGCCGTGGGAGAAGGCTGCGGTCTGAGAGCTTATCTGGTTTATCTGCTTGCTGAGCGTCAGGGCAGTCGTAGACAAATCCCCTCTGTCCCTTTCCCAGACAAATCCCTGCGAGTTTTTAAATCTCTCTTGATGTTACAGCAAAAGTAATTCTGGATGTAGCCATATGGCATAATGTGAATGGAAAAACAAATGTGGGCAAGGCTGCTTGGCTGAACCACACTCGGTGTAACTCGCCCTGGAGAGCCTAAGTCACCGTAAGGGCTGTGTGGAAAGGGAAAGGCGAGGGGTGATTAATGTGTAATTTGGTGCAGCATCGGGTTCGCAGCAAATAGAGCCCTGTTCCATTAACTGCCTCTGCCAGGCTTTAATTGAAAGAAATCATGTTCTTGGTGGCTGAAATAGAAAACAGAAAAGTGTTTAATACTTGAATTCTTTTTGATCTTTAACTGGAACAGTGAGGGATTTATGCAGCTGAAGGAATTATCTTCAGGCACTTGCATTGTGCATGTTGCTTTTTTCTTTAAAATGCACTGAGATGTATCTGCCTACTGGATCTCTGAATACAGAGTGACTGTTTAAGTAGCGATGGCCATTTTCTTCCTAAATTCTGAATATGATCCTTTCATAGCTTTTAACCCTAAAGCATTTATCTAAGTTTTAAAAAGCCAAGATTTTCTTGAAGTACYGTGCATTTTTACAACCCTTCAACTTGCCTTAATGCTCTTCCCCTTGTAGAGGAGGTTGTGGCTACTACTGTCTTGGAAAACTTAAAGAATATCTTTATAAATTAAGTCAGAGAATAAAGAGTTTTTTTCCCTGCACTTCAAATTCATTGCAGATCATCTCCAGTCTGTTTAGACTTTTGTAATGGGTCAGATAYCTGTCAGTGAGATCTCCCCTTGATTGGAAAGTTGGTTCTTCGAAGTTTGGAGACTTGGAAGGCTGGTGAAAAATATGTACTTTTCTCTYAAAATTTTATTGTGATATTTGTAGGTTATTGAAGTTCAGGGTTTTGATGCTCAGTTTGTGGACCACTCATTTGTCTTTTGGTTTAGCTACCAGATGTATAAATTCTGACG